TTCTCCATGGATTGTACATTGGCCAGTAGGATACTGGGCAGTGGTGCGCGATGCGCCTGCTGTCTCAGTCTGTTCCTAATACCAGCGCTTCACCTGCTCCCTGTGAAGCAATAAATTTGAACTGGGTCTTGAGCCCAGTTTGGGTGAAGACAGATTGGGTGATTATTTTGCACAAGTTTGATTAAATTCTGACCAATACTTTAGGAGCAGTAGTGATTCTTGTGAATTGTGGACAGCTGGTCAACCGAACCCTCACCATGGCATGAGCTTATCAGACTTTCAACAGGATGAGATAAAAACTGCTGTGTTAAAAGTAACAACATAAAGTCTGCATTAATGTAATGTATCAACGGGACACTTGCCATTTTAGAAAAGTTATTCTTTACATTTACAAAATTTTTAAACTTCATTGTGCTCAGTCACACCTGTTCGCATAAAACTTGAAATATTAAAATAGTACAAAACCTTTAATAAGTGACAGTAAAGATCAGTTTATAACAACTAAGACATCAAACTCTTGTATTTGTCTTCAATTACAATTGCAACAAATTCCACAGAACCAATTTCTCTGAAAATGAGTGCTGCCTGCTTCTGAAACATTTCATATGAATATTTCAGAAACATTGGTTTGACTCTGCTCAATTGCAAAACAAAGGAAAAACTACTGACTTGCATGAGATAAGCATCTGCAGAGTCCACCATTATATTGTTGATAGCAATCACGTGGGACAGTTTTGAATCCTGCTGTGCTCAACTTGCCCACATTGTCAAGTTCACATAAGGTGCTGATTTAGCTGGACATGAGTTTTCAAGTTAGCTTTTTTTTAATGTAATTGGGACATTTTTAACTTGTAATTCTATGTTATAACAACAACTTCAGTCATCTATCATCAAACTGATATAGAATAATATGTTACAATAACAAACATCTAGAATTACATTTTACAGTGTGTGGTTCCTGAGGAGTAAGAATGGGGAGCAGAGAGAGGTGGTCAAATTGTCACAGTTGGGCGAGAGATGTCACCCAACTGGGCAAGAGATAACGTCAAATTTGCCTATACTTGATGTTACTGTACAAATGGTCCAGTGACCTGTTTCCTCTAGGACACTACCATGTTGGTAGAATTTGGGGAGTACAGATTTCAAACATACCTGATTAAAGTCCTCAGGAACAATATGGAAGCCCTCCACATTGGCCTCTAAGACTGGTGAGCAGTGACTGTCTATAATTCTACTGTTATGGCACCAACCCTGAAGCACATGAGCACAGAGCTCTAGGCCCCTTCCCTTAGAGTCTTTGTTGCCGTCATGGCAGTGTAATGTCTGGCCCGGTACCTCGACTGATGCATTGGGGATGTTTGGACGAAGGATTCAGCTACAAACAACACTCACAGAAAAAGCAGTTGTAGTAAATCTCTGATTGCAGTTCATCTGGTTTGTTTACCAAGGGATCTGGCATTGGTGAGATGGATGGAAGTATGAAATGCATTTATTAAAGTGACTCTGCATCAGTTAGAGATATTTCTTGAAGGATGGTCAGTCATTAGATCCTGCTGGCCCAACAAGAAGTGAAGTCATTTTGGATAACATGAGCAATGTCATTCTGATAATTCTAAGTCAAAGCTGAACTTAACTATGCATATTTATTTTGGGGTATTGTTTAAAAAAAACAAAAACATGATAGCACTTCATTAATTTGTCTTTAGGTCTTTGTTTAGAATGAATAACCTGTGGTTCTGGTTTCAGGGTCAAGCACAGTGACTTTTCTTTGTCCTTCTTCCATACAGTAGTAAAGTAAAGTAAAAGTAATTTTTTATTTATACAGCACCTTTTAAGATGTCTTGATGCATTCTCAATCATCCAGGAAAGTAAATCTCCAAAAGTTGATTCTGTTCATCTGGACGTAGCGTTTTGTGGGAGAAACGTTTCGTCACTCATCCAAGTGACTTCTTCAGTCTCAGCTGACTGCAGGTTTCCCCAATCTTATAATGTACTGTTTATAAGATTGGGGGAACCTGGTGTGAATGGCTTTTGTTTCAGAATCATTTCTGAGGTCATATCTTTCCATTGATTTAAGCCAATTGACTGCGTGTCGGCTCAGTCAATCCAATCTGCACTGAAGCAGTTCTTATTCCTCATCCACAGTCGCTAAAGTTCTTTATGGTTCATTTCTGTCTTAACTGACAGGATGTCTTATTTTGTTAAATATCTCTCTTCCTCATTTCCTCTGCTGCCACAGCTGGTAGGAGGGACCAAGATGCCGAGGAAAGGATTCAAGAAGAGGAATCAACTACGTGTACTTTTGGGAATGAAAAGAGACTGCCATACTTTTCATGCAGAAACAGAAACACCCAGTCCGCGTCATCCTGAATGAATAACAGGAAGAGAGCAGATGTTCAGCCAAGAAGTTCTACTGAACAAAGCTCAGCTGAACTGAGGACGCTGTAGGAGTTTACTGCCGAGAACATTTAATAATGAAAATATGTTTTCAAGTACACTCCGGGCCATGAGCAAACTCATGGCTTTGCTGAAATAAACCAGTATAAAGACTTCCCACAACAAGACCTATCGTCTCTTGTCCATCCTGTCCGTACAGTTTCATTCAATTGTTCAACTTTTCCAGCTTTCATCAGTAAGGTTTCGTTCTCTTTAATTTCTAACTGCGACTTGATTGTCTGATCTTTCTGTTAATCACATCAGGACCACTTTAGTCTGTCCACAGTCTGAGTCGTTGAATCATTTCTAGTATTAATGGACTTACAACATGAAACTTGGTGGTCCACTCATGTTAGAGCAGTCGTTTAACCTCAGTTGTTCTGACAGCTGTGATGTCCCAAGTCTGAATTTTATTGTGACATGCAGACCTGTACATTAAAAAAAAAAACTTAAGTGTCAAAGTCTCTACTATTAGTAGTATATATGTTTGAGCTGTACCACTATAATAATAAACAGTTAGAATATTTTATCTGTCAGAGTAGCTCTGTCATTAATATTTCTGATTTAAGTTTCTTATTTTGGCAAATACTACAAATCAATAAATAACTTTTGTTGTGATGCAAAGTATTTCATTCGTTGGATTATTTATGAAAACTCACTGACCATCAGCAGTAAGTGTACGATCAGACAGGATGCAGGTGCATTGTGGGAACTGTGGAGGAGGGTTATTCAAAGCACAAATCGAGCTGGACCTTGCAGTGAACTGACAGGTAAAGTTGGACGACACTTCCTGGCCCACAGTCAAGTGTGTGTGGATTTTTAGTAAAATCTGAAAATGAAGAACATGTGTGAGAAATACCTGAAAGCCACAAATGATCACAGTCCCGAGTGTGTTTGTAAGCTGTACCTGTCCGTTTGTGTCCTTTTCAACTTTGTGGGAAATCATTTTGTGCTGGGACTCATCAGGAATGGACAGCCAGTCTGAATCTGTGCAGTCATCTTCAAATGTGCAGCTAGGAGAAGAAGGAGAAATGATCACCAAGTTCAGAATAGTTTGGAGACGTCAGCTGCATGTTGTTTCTCTCACCTGCTTTTAGAGCCACACCAACCACAGTATGGATCCTGTGCAGACCAACACTCCTGCACATTTGTGTACGTGCTGCACTTTGACACAGGAACTCGCCTTATCTAGAACAACAAACACTTTAAAATGCAGCACAGGTACATGTGACATTAAGATAATCAGTAAATAATTTAAGTACCTGGTTTCTAAATGGCACATACACATGTTTATGACCCACTGGATCCAGATGTAATTTGGGAAACACTTTGCGATCATCACTTGTCCTGTAGAGCACCGTGGGACAGGCAGCGTGATAGTTCCTGTCCACAGACAGCTGACAACAAGAAGGAGAGACTGTACTATTGTTTCTGTACTCAGTGGGGGGGGGGGTTTGTATTGTTTGGTTTTTTATGTCAAATCAGAAGCAGTGTGAGTGATTAATCTAGTTACAACCTTGCTTTGAAAAAAATGGGACTCTAGGAAGAATCTAAAAAATAAATAAAGCTGATAATCATATAATTAAGATCACAAGTGTTAATGTTAGAATTTACACTAAAAACAAAACTATACAGCTTTTACACTTTTCTTCCCCCCGTTAACCATCATCCAGTAAATCTTTGTTTCTGTCCAAATATTTATTTTTAGGCATCTTTGAGATGTTTTCACCCAGGTCTAACCTGGTCTTCCTGTGCCCGAGTGTAAACAATGGTTTCCGTATATACATTCCTGAAGGTGTCTCTTTAACTCAAAGTTTGATAAAGGACGACAAAACTACTTCTCCAAGGGTTTTCTTGGGATTCCATGATGCTCTGTAGCTGTAAACTAATGAAACACTGCTGCAAACATCCACATCGGTTGTCTTCTGTACTTGTTCAGACTCGTTGGATGTTCTTGATCTGGAATGTTGATTTGGCTTCTCCTACAGGCTCTGCTGTCTGTCTGCTTTCTTTTGCTTGTTCAGCCTTGTTTACTTGCACTGACACTTCTTTGGTCCTAATACGTTGACTTCCAGCGAAATGTTGTGACATAACGAAATTAGGCCTCAACTGACTGTGAAAATGGCAGCCTGTGTATAAAAATGGCTGTAATTCCTAAACAGTTAATGCATTAAATTTGTTTAGTTAACAGGTTACTCAATAGACACCCTACTGCTACTAGATGGCCTCTGAAATACTGAACATTAGCTTTATTTCTTTCTGTTAATAATAACTGATGTATGATAATTTATACAAACCTTAATGAGCTGTCCGTCTCCTGTCCCAATATAGAAAACCATCCAGCCTCTCTGCCTCACTGCCAGCACTGAGGTCATGTAGCTCTGCCTGAAAATCACTGCCTTCGGTTTGAGGATCTTTGGCTGAGAAACAGAAAAACATCAGAAATAACTGACCTGAAGAACTGAACATCAGAAGTACTGAAAGTCCTGAAGCCTCACTGAAGCATGTCTGTTGCTGCATTGTCACCAAAGTCAGTTGAATTTCTTGATTTTGTCATTTTAGTTTGAAATATGAAGTTCAGACATGAAGTGTGGCCATTAGGACATCCCACAGTTGGCTTAATAGTTAAACTGGTTCATACATAACAATTTTTTTTGTTATAGTATGTGTGGAGAAACAAATAGGACAAAGGAGGGGAGAACAACTAAGCTGTAGTGCCTCTTCACCTCACTGTACAATACCTTGTGCAATACTTTTTGTAAATAGTCAACAGTGCAATAGACTCAATACTTGAAATGTGCAATTCACTTGTATTTTTATTTTTATTCCTATTTATTCTATTTATCCCCTTCGTATATTTTATTTATATTTGTCTCTGTATTTATATATGTGTGTGTGTGTGTGTGTGTGTGTGTGTGTGTGTGTGTGTGTGTGTGTGTGTGTGTGTGTGTGTGTGTATATATATATATAATATTCTGTAACTGTAACTTCTGTCGGTGCTGTGCTTTTTGGAAATCGAATTTCCCAGAGGAACCCACCCGAGGGATTAATAAAGTTCTATCTTATCTTATCTTATCTTATCTTATCTTATCTTATCTTATCTTATCTTCTTATCTTATCTTATTTCTTCAGTCTATGATGCTCAAACATGACAAGATTTTTCCAGCAGCTGAAATGATATTACAAAAATAACTCTATTAAGACGAACAAAAGAACAAAACTTTCTTTTTGTTGTAGTTAAAATGTATATTTTAGTTCTTTTATTCTTTTTTAAAGGGACATTTATCCAGAGGATACTGGAGCCATTAAATTAAGAACCATTAAATCAGAGTTTGAAAAGCTCTCACCGTCACTTCTGATGGCACAGAGGTGTAGAAGTCTGGATCTCTGTCGGCATCCTACTGTAATCAGGGCTGATGTCAAACACCATTAGCTGGGTGTTGGTGTCTCCTCCATCCACACTGAACACGCCGCTCCAAAGCACCGGCTGCTCCCCCGGGATGACCGAGGAGGCCACAAGTTTGCTGCTGTCACCGTCAGAGACACTGAGAGTTGCGCCCCGCAGAGACTTGAGTGTATCAGTTTTGCTTTTTTCCCCTTCGAGCCAAATGAGACGGACTCTGTTTGTTTGAGCTGAGAGCATGTTGGAGAACAGATAGATGGTTGAATTGATCTGAAACCCGTCAACAAACTCCACATCACCTTTACTTTTGATCCCAGGTGTGCCTGAAGCTCCATCAGCTAGAGAAAATATACCTCCACCCTGTTTGTTATCTGTATCCTGAAGATTGACAGTCTGCCGATTAATACCACACTTGTTGTTTTCGGGCTTTTCTGTGTTTTGTTGGATCGCGGTCAGAATGTAAGTGTCAGCCTGAGTTTTCTTCTTCACATCCACCAGAAAGCTGACTGACCTGCTGCTGCTTTTCAGAGGTCCCACCTGGATGTGTTCTCTGTACAGAAGGTTGGAGATGTTCTTCAGGTCCAGAATCTCGCAGTAACCGCAGTCATCGTCAGTCACACCGCAGCTGATCAGAGAGTCATTGCTTGTAAAAGGCAACAACACGTTGATGCTGAAAGTTGCGTTCCACTCAGCTGTGTCAGAAAC